TGTGGGAGACGCGGGCGGGAGCCCTGTGAGCCCAGCGGGGCTTGTGCCAGCCCTGGTAGCTGGGCCAGGGCCAGGGCCAGGGATGCGGCAGCCATGGCAGCCCCAGTAGTGGGGCCAGAGCCTGGGAACCAGCATCCCTGATAGTGGGGCTGGGGCCAGGGCAGTGCAGGCTGCTGGGGCCACAGCAGCATGGAAGCCCAGCAGCAGGGAGGGAAGGTGGTCTGGGGAGCCAGTAGTAGGAGACATCCTCTGGTCCGGCAAATTCTCTCATTCGGGACTAGTGAGGTCCTGAGGGTGCCGGACAAGAGAGGTCCGATTTGTACTTGACCTGCTTTTACTGAACATAGAAACAAATGTTGACTAGAAGTGTTGTCCATTCATCAGGAATTTAGTTATTGAGCGTTTTCAATAACAAATATCACAGAGGTTACCATTGCAACCTGCCTGCTTTTCTGAATATAAAAGTACAGGCTGAAGCTCTCTAGTCCGGCACCCTTAAGATCTGACCGGTTCCAAACCAGAGAATTTGCCGAACCACAGAAGGTCAATATTGTTTAGCAGCATGACCAACACTTCCACTGCTTACTGGGTCTTAGGAGACATTTAGGGGTAAATTTGAGATAAATAACAGCACAGAATACTGAGAGTTTCGATGGGAAACTTGGCCACACCTGTGATAAGTGGACATCTGACTAACTAAAATCATGCTGAACCACAGATGTTGCCAGACCAGAGAATGCTGGATTAGAGAGGTTCAACCTGTTACTGTTCAAAATGAATCATGATGCAGTACACAGTTAGGAATGAAACAGTCACAACCTTTAGAGTTTTGTTTTTTGCTTAGTCATATTTTGATATTCCCATATAGACATCACTGGTAATTACCTGCAAGTGATGACTGTACAGATTTTACTGGCTGACATGTTGCTGTAGCTGTTGTGTTGGTCCCAAAGAGATCAGCTAAGTGAGGTAATATTTGTAATTGGTCTAAATTCTATTGATGAAAGAGACAAGCATTTGAGCTATGCAATGCTCTTGTTCAGAATTTATTGGTATCCATTTCGATATGGTTTTACTACAAACCTTCAATATAAGGTCTCCTGTTACAGTGCCTGAACTAAACAACTTCATCTCCCTGAAATTGTCTCTTACACTAAACCAAAGATTCTCCCCAAACGTATTAGTTGTTTCCTGCAAGCCTTGCAAATTCTAAAATCCACATTTAAAAGAAAAGTTGCAGTTTTTGTGCAGTTAACTTTCCATTGGTGTCTGCTCCACATATTGTAGCTGGGTGATAAATAAAATGCCCATGCTATCAAATACTTCTGGTCATCCATGTAATGTGATTTTACAGGCGGAAGCCCACCAGTGTACTAAGAAATTTTACAGGATGAAGGCAACTAGCAAAGTAGCTATCTCTTTTGACCAGTTAAAATCAGCACAGAAAGATACAAAACAACTAATGGGTTAGTTTCTCCACCGATCTAAATCAGTGTAGTTCTATGGCATTTGGTACAGCTACTTCGATTTACACCAGTTAAGAATGTGGTTCCAAATGTCTCAGAAACTGTGTAAATCTGATCGGCTAAGAATGTAACTCTGAGTTATGGCTTAGAAAGAAAATGTTTCTACACTAGTTCCACCTACTGGACTCCAAGATGTAATAGCTGCCAACAAAGTACAATAACACAAAGTCTAAATGGATGGTAGCTAAATCAAGTGTGCTATTATGACTTGTATGGCATTTATATATGAAAAATATTTTTTAGGGTTATTTTGTTTTAAATGCATCAATCAAGATGTATTTCTGTTATTACCATTCTCTACAGCAAGCTCTAGTATGATAAAAAGAAAATAAGATGCCCAAAATGGGGAGTGCTAAAATAATAGGGTATATAAGTTATAAAAGGAAAAATCAAGTAGGAGAAAAGATCACAGCAGGAAGAGACAGCTGGATTCATGTTTATCATTTTGAGGCCTTTTCCACCATCTGGAAACTAATTTCTTTTCTGTTTATGTATATACTCACCAACCAGTTTCTGCAATTTCTCAATAAATGTGATAACTAATTTTTGACTCTGTCTCCCTCTGGAAAAGAGTCAGAATAACTACCCTGATGTCATTGGACTCAGTGTGTCACGTTGTAATCTTTAGGATGATTACAAATCTAAAATAGGGTTCTCTGAGGAAAATACAGATTGCCTAGTTCATTCCTAATCAGATCACTCCTAAAACCAGGAGCTGGCCTCTCTCTGTTTCATACCTTTCCCTGTGGTAATTCATTGTTTGGCATTTGTCTTCAGTAAGTAGGTGGGGTGGTGGGAAATGATACCACAGAAAGTCATTAGTGATTGAATGATTGAATGTGAATGCAAAAAAAAAAAAAGGCAAAATCCTAAATGAGCAATAAATCTTTGCATTCTCCCTATTGTTTTTCTCTTCTCTTCCTTTTAATCATTTGCTTGTGCATTAATGTATGCTCTATATCCTCGATATCTCCCCATTCAGTCTCTTCAAGGCCTTACATTTGAAAGTAAAATCCTGACACATTTCTCCCAGCTATAGTCACCCTGCATAGTACTGATTAAAGCTACAGTCAGCCTGCCTTAGCACTGATTAAAATCGTCTGCTCAAGTGTAAGATTTGGGTACTTCAACGTTCTTATATAAATGTGACGGGGGAAAAAATGTTCTTTTAACAGAACAAGTAAAACACAATCAGCCAATAAGCACATCCACTGTAGATGTTGCATAAGCAAAAATAATTTGGCTGAATATGTAGATGTTTGCAGGGTTATGGAATAATTCTGTCTATCGCTATATAACCTTTAATCTGTCAGATGGCTTGAAAAGCGAGTGTTTTAAATGCAACTATTTATGTTTGTAATTTTTCAGTGTCCCTCCACCTATACGTCTCTCCCTGTTTTATCACAGGGTTCTGTCATAAATTAACAGTTTATGCTACATGGGTTACAATTAATTTCAGTGCTGCTTGTTACCAATAAAAAGATACTTCATAAATATTTGTGTGTGGGTTTTTTGATAGATGATAATAGCAGAGAAGAGAAGCAAAGTACTGAAGAAACTGAGAACCGGAGCCAAGAAGCAGGTTTGTGCTGAGCTCTTTAAAACTTTCTCCCAGGCTTTATGCACCTTAGTGAACAATAACCTTAGTCAATGCTATTGACTGAAAATGTTTGTACGTTTTCACCAGATTAACCCAGGGCTTGTGTACTTCTCCCTTTGGAGACCACAGTTCCATTCATTATGAATGAAAACTT